CCCCGCCCCTGCATGGAGCCCTGTGATTAGTGCCCGAATGCATCACGTAGACTCGCCCGACACACTCCTGCACATTGGCTCTGTCCGTGGATTTACTCTCCCCCTTCCTTGCTGCTGTGTTGAGTAATCAGGTTTGTGGCCTGTCCCGTGAAAGGCTTAGGATTAACTGGCCAGCAGACCGCGCTTGTCTTCGGCCCAGGACAGGCTCTTCCCTGCTCTCCCGCTGGTCAGCGTTCTTGGCGACGCTGTTGAAGACATGCACTTACTTACCTGGAGTCGGCACCGAGTGACGTGGGCACCACGGCCTGCCTGTGCGTGTCGCACACCCAGTACCTGCTGCCTGCCGCCCCCCTGGGCCTTCTGCTGGGGCTGGCACCTGCTGGGGGTTCTGGTTTTTACTTTTTTAATGTAAGTCTGAGTCTTTGTAATTATTGAATCGTGAGAACATTTTTGAACAATTTACCTGCCAATAAAGCAGAAGACAGCAGTTTTAAAGCTCTCAGTGGTTTGTCTGAATGTGATGACTTGTCACCCTGTGCGTGTCTTGGTGCCTGCAGACACTGTTCTTCGTTAAGGGGGGGGGGGGGTCCTGCAAAAAGCACCTGTCTCCATGTGGCTGGAGCTGGTTTCCAGAGTAGGACTCCGGCCCTCCAAGTCTATGATGGGGGGTCCTCGTGGGGGGACCCCCGGACAGAGTAGGCAGGGCTGGGCTTGGGCCACTGGGGGGAGAAAGGGGCCCCCCCCCGGCCAAGTGCTCCTGGGGGCCTCCAGGTAGCCAGCCACAGCAGTGGGGTTAGAATTTCAACCTGAGAGAAGTAGGAGCCTTAGGGCCCACGGGCAGGGCAGGGCCAGTGGGTGCCCATGAGACCCTGCAAGGCCGGCCTCCTGCCTTTGGGGCTGCCTGCAGCAGCAGGGGGGCCCTGTCCACACACAAGCACGCTGGCCCCTCGGCAGCCCTAGAGGACGGGATGGGGCAGGCCCGAGTCACCAGGAGCCAGTGGAACTCAGGAGGCCTAATTTCCCCCCAGCACAGGCCCTGCCCTGCGCTGGGCTGGGTTATATTTGCCCCGAGACCCCCAGCATGTTCTTGGTCACACGGGGCCAGTGACAGCCCCCGCCCGAGCTGGTGCTGGGAGGCGACAACAAGGTTCAGAGCAGCCGGCCCAGCCCGGGGCGGGGGATGCTCGGGGACCGGCCGCCGCCGCCGCCCTGTGCCCCCCACGTGGGCCCGGCCCCGCGGAGCGCCGCCCACATCCCATCTGCCCCCCTCGCCTTGGCACAGCCCCCACCCCCGACACAGGGCACAGACGGCCGTCCTCCCACCTGTCCCTGAAAGGGGCCGGGTGTCCGAGCAGCAGCGACCACGCGAGGCGCCGGTGGAGCGTCCGAGGCCCAAGTGAAACCGCATCGGCTGGGAGAGCTGACAGGAGCAGGGCCCGGGCTGGGTGAGCAGCGGTGCGGGGCAGAGACGGAGCCGGATCCCAGCCCGCAGCGGAGGTCGGCTCCACGCGGGGCCAGCGCGGCCGTCTCCGCGCCAGGGTCACAGCGCGCCCCGCCGACAGAGCGCCGGCC